TAGGGTGATGAACTGAGTGTTTGGAGGAATATACGCCGCTATTATGATGAATATAAAGCGATCGTTTTTGACAGTCAACGCTACGTACTCGTTGTTAGCGTCAGGTGGAAGTGTGTGAGAAATATAGGTAAAGTCTTTCCGAACCGCGACTAGTACTCGGCTTGGAGGTGTACCTCGCATCGAGTAAAAAACCTCGTAACCTAAGAGACGAAAGCCACTAGCAATGTTTGATTCCGGTAAGACCATGACAGGAGATAGGTACTTATGGCGAATTTCGAATATCAGATAGCCGGTTGCGGAGACCCCTTGCATTTCATTGGAAAATGGTTGGTTGTGACCGAATTCACTCTACTGACAACATATGTAGGCTAGGAGGGAGGGCTTGGACAGAGCGTAAGTTCCACCACAACCAAAATTGTAAGCGCAATACTTTGAGACGCCGTGCCTTCCATAACTTGTAAAAAAAAAAAATTTGCAGTTTAAAAAAAAAGAAAGGTGTTGTAGTACATCTCAAAAGTACGGTGACAAAATTCGGGGGGAAAAAAAAAGAAACCCTTACGAAAGTTATGTATATTTCCCTGTAGTCGGAGGTTTTCTTGGGTCTGTTTTTTTAGCGATTGAAGCGTAACATGAACAGTGTTCGTTTCCTCGGGTGAGGCGAGAGTGGCCAAACTTCAGAGTATCTTTACAATAAAGGACCCTAACAAAAGGATCGCTTCAATCGCGTGATGAAACGTTGACGCCGGTAAGATCGTTTTCAATATTTGACGAACAGCGGTGAATACCAGTGGTATTAGGGTTTTGTATAAATATATTGTACCTGTTTTCCTAGCCTGCTTAGGTGCCGAGGTACGCGAATCGGAAGGCGGGTGTGAAGTGAGGACTTTGATGTTTTGTTTTTCCCAAAAATATGGTTTACGTGCTTCTTTTGTGCGGCTGTTGTAGTAGGCGTTACGGCTCCAGGATCGTCACTTGTGTTTTTCAGGTTCTTAAGAGAAGGGTACTCCTGAGCATTTAGTGACGGCACACGACTGGTGGTGATTGTGGACGCTGTTTTGCCACCTTCAGCCGTTTCCTTGTTTGCCTGACGTTCGTGCACGGCATATTTTGCCTCGCGAAAAGTGGTGTTGTGGTCTAGCCGATACCTTGTAACTTCAGTCTCGCTTACCTTGACGGGGCACTCGGCTGAGTTGGAGGCGTGCTGTCCTTGACAGTTCACGCAGCTGGGATTGGCTTCACACTTGCCTTCGTGACGTAGTCTACATCGACAACATGATTCAAGCCCTGCTGTGGTCGCAGCTGGAATATGGCCGAACTTGTAGCATTTGTAGCACTGCAAGGGGCGTGTTCGGTAGGGAATCACCTCAGTTCTTACAAGCCCCACTTTGACGCGTTGAGGTGCTACTTTCCTTGTAAAGGTAACTCGCACTACGGCTGACGTCTTCCCAAGTCGCTTCACCCCTGCTATGCCAACGGAGAACTGCAGATGTGCCTTAACGTCGTCTTTTTTACAGTCAGAGTCAATGTCTCGCAGGATGCCAAAACAGTTTGAGCGATCTCTCTGTAGAAAGGCTCTGACCGGCACTGCAGAGCTTGGACAGCTTGAGAAGCTCTGCTTTAAAGGGAGGTCCTTTCACATCAACTGTGACAATGTTCCGAGCTTTGTTAATCCGGACCACACTTACCATGCTTGGCGTAACAACGTTGTTCAGGTAGTCTGCTAGCTTGAGTTTGCTGAGCGACTCAACCTTGTGGTTCTCAGTCGGGATGTACAATACGGTGCATCCAACTTGTTGGTTGCCTTCATAATTGAGAGATGAAGCATGGCGCCGTGGGTCCCTCTTACGCCTCTTCTTTCCCTGGCCAGTCTCGCATTCATCCTCGTCGGGCAGCCTGCCGTCGTCATCGCAGGTAGACACGATCGTCCAGGAAGTGCAAGTTATTGCATCTGTGGTTGGTTCCTTGGGCGGAATTTCATAGCCGCCTTTGAAAGACGTCCCCGATGCTGCTATGTCTTGCAGGGCGGCAAACATCAGTTGGTCTGTTGATTCAGTGTTCAATTTTGAAGGAAGCTTGGCCTCCCTGAAAGGATCCTTCGCGAAGAGTGGTCCGATGCTTCTCTGCTGTTACGCAATCGGTGGATACGAAGTGCAGGTCCGCTATTTAGCAAATATTTCGGTATATCTCATGGGACACAGACTGAATTACCGGAAGCAGTGTCGTCGTCGTCGTCTTCCCGTTTGTTATAGTGCTCCATCAGTAATCCCTCGATGAATCGGAGCTACCGTAGTTACGATTACGCGCAGTATGAAAGCAAAGAATTTGATGAGTGGCGATTGGAAGTGATGTGCGTCTTGTCGGCTTCGCGGTGGGTGTGTTTCCCCAAGATTAAACCAGTTGTAAGTATAGCACTCTGTGGTGTGTGTCTCTTCTACTCGTTCGTCGTATTTTTAGTGATTTCAACCCTTCATAACGCACCCTGCTTTTTTGTTACACTAGCTAGCAGTTTTAAACTTAATGCACGACGCAAGGTTTGCCTCTTTTTAACCTGGATTCTTGAAACGGCTGCATTTTTTGTTAAGCAGTAATGGACCTTTAGTAAAACGCTCAATTGTTCCCTGCTTTGCGAGAGCCGTATACATCTGCTCTTCGTAATTGTCTTGCCAACATCCGATAAAAAAATTCAGAATAATATTATTTTATTACATACTTCATAATCGACGGAGATAATGTTTACTAGTTGTTGCACTCTTCGTTTCTTTTCGTGTTTCTGTTTTTGGTGCGATGGTAAAAATTATTGGTGTATTTGAATGCCGAATATTCTCAGCATAATTTTATTCGCATCATAAGATGTTTCTGATACGCATCAAGTAAAGCATGAAAGGTACAGTGAATTCTTGCCTTGTGTCACTGGAACCGGAAAGAAAGAGCGCGAGAGAGAGAGGTAGAAAAGGCTTGCGAAAGAGTAAGTACTAAAGTGTATGTCATAGTCAGTGTCCAGACGGTCATCATCCCCATCTCCAAGGTGTATTATTATTATTTTTGTCCAGCTCGCGGCACATTTGCATTATTTGCATTAACATCATAACCTTAGGATCAGGCCGTCACCCTTGTTGGTGTTAGACTGGTGGCAGCTGTTGAAAGCCGTTTGCTCTACTGAGTTGGTAGAGCGTTCCACTGGAAATGGAGAGGTCCCTGGTTCCAGGACGAGGCGGATTTTTTCAGTCGCGCGCCAGTCACCTAGTTGTGTTTGTAGATTTGAGTTTGTCCTTTGTCTCCCTTGTTCCCCTCTCCAAAGATTATTCTTGTTATTCTTGCCCAGCTCGTGCCAGTTTTGCATTAACATATGATCAAATTAGGTTGTCTACGTGCCAGGAACAAAGTCACACTAGTTAGAACTTAAAAATGATCAGGTTTCTAAGCGAGAACGACATGAACTTATGATCAATTCCTCTGAAAAGCACAGAGAAGGTACTGTAGAAGGAAGATTGACTTATAGTTGGACACATCCGCACTCTTTTCCGATTCGTACTCGTAAACAATTACAGCGAACTCGCATGTGTTTGAAAATATCACTGAATTTAAGGTCCTATCTAATATCTCATATAGAAAGGGGGTGAATAAATCATGGTAGATTTCAATAGAGGCTGTTGGTGGATATGTTCATTAATATGCTTCGTTATGTTTAGCTTTATTAAGCCTAACCTTAATATGTGGGAAACCCTCTTACCTTCATAATGACTTGTTTTCTCGTTTTTACTTATCTAAAAAAGACATTGCACACTTTTCTCAAAGTTTCGAAAATGGCCACCACTAAACAAACGAATATTTGTGCGAACAGATTAGTCAATTTCTTATGGGAGAAGTCGCCAGAGCTATGATTTTTTAATGAGTATCTGAGAAGGCCGAGCCATATCGTCGTGTGGTTTCTCGCGGAATGACCCTGCTGCCTCATGACCTTAGGCTAGCGAACGTACAGCGCTGGCTGAATTTCTGATTTACAGCGCAGATATCAAGCGTCTCTTAGAACAGACTTAATATCCCGCTATCGATCTAAACATCCACACAAAAAATATTTGTTTACTCTGAGGCTTGCTTAGAAGCTGGGTATATCTCCTAGATATTGTTAAATACCAATGATCTTGTTCGACTTTGAGGTTCACTTAAAACTATCAGAAACCTAGAGTATGTCTTCAGGAAACTAAATTCATCTACCATGCAACCTGTACAAAAAGAGTAAGGAGAATTGCTTGCGTCTAGTTAAGGCTCTCATCGCCGCCTGCCAATTCTAGCGGGTCATCACTCGGACTGTAAGCGTTCTCGGTACCCAAGCTGATAACCCTGATACGTGCAATAGCGAATCGATATTTCGCTCGTTTTGTGTAGTTATTTATAGCTTCGAAAGATCTCAAAACAAGCAAAGCAGGGAGGAAACGTTTGTTGGTAATAATGGGACCTTACAATATTAAACAAAACAGATCGTACATAACCCGTATTCTATAGCAATTTTGCCATTTCCGGACTGAAAAGTGTAAGGTAATCTCTATGTCGACAAGATGTTTCCAGATGTTCATGTTCCTTGATGCACTCCCTTACAAAATATTATGAATGCGTTTCAATTAACTTTCTAATGTACGCTAAAAAATAGTACATTAGAAACTTAATTGAAACTCATTGATGATTTTTTTTTTAAGGGCTCGTAATCTCGGAAACCTTAAGCGTTTAGAAGACAGAGCAAGTTCGCAAAGACAGGAAGGCTCACAGGAAGAGGTTAGTGCATTTCGCAAATTCAGAATGAGCCTCCCATTTTCCGTGTCGCACGCTCAGCACGGAACTCCACTGGTTTCGTTTTTCCCGCTCTCCTACCAGCACGCGCCTCGTTTCGCGCCCTCGTCGCCGGGAGCGCTGCGGTCGCCCTCCGGCCAATCAGCGGCTCGACCGCCGGCGTGACGTCGAGGGGATGCCCTCGAGCCACGGGACGGGTGCCTCGCGCAAGTTTTGATTGCCAACTTCTGTCGGCGGGACGCCACACACGAATATGGCGCGGCGGTCAGTGAATGAAGGCCCACGATGACACGCTTGCTCTGGGATAACCGGCCCGCTCCGTGTCTCCGAGTTTTCCCGTGGTGTGTGTCGATCCTCTTGCAACTGTTGGTGGTGCGACATTGCCGCGCCCTGGATGTGATCTCGGCCTGCTACGTCGACTGCGAGTCGCGACTGGTGAGTTGTTTTGCTGACACTGCCTCGGTCGAACGAGGTTTTCCGACGTCGACGAGATCATGGGCGCTGATCTGTCGTGTCGATGTCGGTGGCCACCGACCGTATGTCCTCCGCAAGGTCGCGCGCATTCCGCACCTGGCCTTTGCTTTTTTTATGGCTTCGGATCTGTTATTGTTTTTTTGTCTTCCTCGTCAATATTTGCCCCTCGGGGTTGCCTCAAGACAGTTGCTGATCTTCGCACGTTTTCGCAGCGAAGGTTTACTGCGCGGCCGTTTATTCAATACTTGTTTTTTAACGTTTCTTGCGTCTGTATTATTAGTTCGTTCAGTCACCAATCCCTGAGGATTTGTAGAACGTTTTTTTGTGTTGCGTTTTGAAAACTCCCGTAGGGAGCAGTAGAGGCTGCTTGCTGTTTCATCTCCGAACATATATCTCACCCGTGATGTCGTAGAGGTTTGGTCTATTCAGACTAACTTTAACCAAGATTTTAAAAGCTGTCAAGAGGGGTCTTGTAGTTGAAGAGAAAACTTCTCTTAAGTAATGTTCGTTAAATTTTACATTATCGCCATTTGGAAGAATGTGCTGATTTCGAGTCTGAGTGTATAGTGGCGTAGGGCTCACATTCAAACTTAAATTAAGGTTTGCGACTCAATTGTATAGCTTTAGAGATCTTGAAGTTCTCTGAAGCTATGAAGCAATGCGTACAAGATGTCCAGCGAATGGATGCGAAATCGGTTCCCGAAAAAACAAAGAGAAACAAGCAAAACGTTAGTAGCCGAAGATGAGCTATGGTATAGCAATGGCTTTCGTCCCTGCCTCGATCCCTATCCGGAAATGCTGGTGAGAATCCTGACAAATAAATAAATAAAAATAGGACACAGAAGTTTGGTGAGTATCGCATTCTTTTTTAATTTGCTATTTAGTATTTAATTTCGTCTCGCCCAGTCCGGTACAGAATTGCGGAATCTCAGCTTTCCTGTCCTCGTTTCGAGATTAATTCTCTCCCGGAGCAGAGCGGTTGGGAAACGTTGATACCTCGGAGATAGTAGAAGACTAGAGAGGAAAATTTCGGGCCTGCAGAAGGCCGAAAAGAGAACCTCCCAACATGTGAACTAAGAAGCGCAGTCTGTTTCACTTCCCCGATTCCTTTGATGGACCGCTTCGATAAAAAGACGCTTCCTCTCCAATTTCAATTTCAAGGCCGACGATGTCTCAAACGCACGAACCTCTTTTTTTTTAAGTCAAATTGCGATGTGATTGTTAAGATAATTAGATGTTGACACGCGTATCTTCAAAGTTTAATTGCGTTTGCGTGCAGAAACAAAACTAAACTATTTTGATTCTCTTCGTGCTACGGGTTACCTCGTAGCATGGTAATGGAAAACAAAGCTGGGGAGTACAAGCATGTTTGATATGCCAAAATGGTGTCCAAGTGATGTGACAACAATGGTAAATAATGATCGTTCTGTAACACATTACCCGAAAGGGTATATTGCGAGGACTGACGAAACAGTTCACTGTTTCATGCTAAATATTGCGTTTCTGTTTCTAGCGTTGATTTTTGTTAGCTGCAGTGAAATCCGTCATGTCTCTTTGGAGGCCCACTTCCTAAATCCTGAGATATGCTTCGTATACCGGCGCATCTTCCCAGGCTTTTCATAACGACAGTTTGTTTATGCTAGGTTAGTTATTGCTGCCTATGTTTGTATACTTGGTCATAGAACGTAGCTTACGTTTTTTAGTATTGTTTTAGTTACTTTACTTCAGTAATTCGCAACCCTGGCTATTTCACACTCCGACGTTAGGGATCGACGGCCCACTAACAGTCATTTTAGGCTTAGTTTTCTGAATATATTTCACCGCATCGAAGTAAACATGATCGCTGCAGTCATGTTTGATACGTTGAAAGAGTTGTATGGTTTTGATAGCTATCTTTCAAGTAAATATCTGGCGTGTGCAAACAGATAGCAAAGCAATAAAAAAAGAAGACTTGTGCTTCAGACATTTATTTTGTCTTCTAAAGCTCAACTGAAAGACATTTCAGCAAATACATTTCCTTGTTTTGTTTTGTTCCACACACCGTGTATGCACTTCAGATTATTCTTGACAGCGTGTTTTCTGTTTTTTTTTTTTTTTTAGTTACATTAGTTGCAGGTAAGGAAAGCACACGAAGCGGCATTTGTTCGTAGCATCGCGTGTTCTCATGCGGCTGCTCGTTTTGGGCATGGCGGGTACAACACGGTTTTTAGCACACCGGCTACGGACCAAGCTGCTCAATTCGGGAGCTCCGCCGTTTCTCGTCGGTGCTAAGCTGTCTTTCACCTACTTTCGCGGAACGAGGCGTGCACCTCGGAACATGCACGCTCGACGACAACGAGGACGTATACCGCTACCGGGAGACGATCCGTCAAACCCCTGTGGCTCGTTCTTTGTTTACCTGCTATGAATGGGACGAAAATATTCCAAACGAGACGTGTGACTGGCATGCTGCGAGAACACGGGTAGGTACGCACCAACTCACCATTATTGGGGACGTGTACAATAATACGTGGCTTTCACGTGACGTCATCGTATCTTGCTGGTGGTAATTCCTCCTCTTTTTTTTTTGTTTTCCTGTCGAGAGAAACAAATTCGATGGTGCGAATCGTACGCTACAGAAGATATGGCGCAATCAGCAACAAGACCATCAAAATGGCCACCGCTCCTAAGCAATTTATAGGGTACTACTACGACCACTCTGTTTTGGCTAGCTGCCTTTGCCTCTATACTCACTCTTGGAACGCGTGCGAATGCGAATGCCTGCGTTCAGCGTCTGAGCGCATTCGAAGAGAGTGTAGAGACCAAGGCAGTCGGCTGCGTCTATCCACGAATCATTGCAACCAGAACTGGGCGCTCTGGCGCCCCCCGAGCCCTTTTCTCCTCCTCCTCTCCCTTAGTTTCTACCCGACGTTGGTCGCAGCGCATGTTGCGACCAACGTCTCTTTCTTTTTATCTTCTGCCAAAAATAAACATCTTGATTGGAAGAGATGCACGATTATTCCCGTTCATCGTGCATTCTATCTAATTATGATTGTAGTTTTGGCAGGCGATAAATGGGAGCTAGATCCGAGCCTGCGCTGCAAACAGCGGCCAACAATATGGCGTCCCGTGAGTACCCATTACAAGGAGCGTCACACACTTGCTTTGTTCGCCAACGATTGCTACAAAAAAAAAAAAAAAAAAAACGAGCGTTTTTATTTTTCCTTTTTTTTTTTTCTTTTTTTTATTGAACAGGTTTTTTCGTTCGGGAGCGCGCCTCGTAGTTTCACTGGTAATATGGCGGTCTAGCACTAAATTAGAAATTATGTCATAAACGCGATAACTTTTGAATCATCTTCACCCGCTTCCGGACTCGTATTCACTGGTGACTAGCGCAGGCATAAGGATAGTGATATTGCCAGAGTATTTATACGTACGAGGGAAAGGAACAGATACTTTATTCCAGGTATAGTTAGGGTCTGCGTAATTATTATAGAAGAGCTGAGTTGCGCTACTGGATCGGCAGCAACGGAAAATGTCACTTCATCATGGTGGCAACTGGCAAGTTACCACTCTGTTTTAGGCTTACGTGATTTATGTACTCCATCGAAACCAAAGCTGAGAGTACGATGGAAGCAGCTACGTGCTCGTTGAATCAGTCGTGGGTCTCTTTTTCTGCGACGCGATCACGCTCCCGCTCATATACGCAAGTGACGTCACAAAAACCCGAGCGTCACACTGACGGATGTCGCGATCCTGGCGGTTGGGCGTAGAAGCTCTGGCAAAAAGTGCGAGCGAACGCGAGTGCCGCTGTCGTCGTGGCGTCCCGACTCCTGGCTGCCGAAGCTTCCGTAGCCTGTCAAGCTGGAGAGCGACCTGCAGCGAACAGACGTGTGCCACTCACACTATCGCTGCTGTGACACCGCGAGGATCGCGGTCGGCGAAAGCGCTATAGTTATACGATGTCACCAAGCGAACTGCGCAGGCGCGCGCATTCCGGAAGTGGTGCCGCCGCCATGCTACTTGTAGTCATCCCTTCCGGCTTCCCGGCTATATACGGCTGCGCGTTCGTACATCATCATAGATTATCATTTGGCACCTCCCCGGTATCACCTTGATTTTCTTGCATGTTTTTACTTCATAAGATTGTGTTTGTGATGCCTTACTTTCCTCACCAAGTGCAGAAAAGCAGTTTCAGTCCAGTTATCGCTTTAGAATCGCTTTGTCGTCTGCTTCTTCGTCTTCGTGAACGCTTGAGCCCACTGCCGTTCAGAGGGTAATCCCACTGCGGCCGCGGAAAAAACAAAACAAAAAAACAACGGCGCCACTACTCCAGCATTCCGACTCCTCGGACGTTTCGATTACCTTGCAAACAAGTGAACATCCAGTGCGATAGCAAAGGACAAGAAAATTCGAGGGACCATCGGCTCGGTGTAGCACCACGGAACAGCATCAAATGTGATGAAAACTGAGCTTGGTGGTGCTCAGTCTTGTGCATAACGTTAAAGCAGCCATCAAGTAAGAGGAGCTAAATAGACTTTCTCGGTCAGCGATAGTTTTCTAAAAGTTGTTTCATTCTGGTTGACAGCCTGTGCGACAGAGTAGAGATGAACAGCGGGAGAGGCCTGCACTCAAAGAACTGATCTACAGAAAGGCCATGCCTGTCGCGCCGTAATAATTGGCATCTATCAAAAAGAAGCAACCATGCCAGATACCTGAAAGCTTGGGGTGCAGATGATTTTTCGTGCACAGTTCCTATTCAGTTTTATTTTGTTTGCGCAAGATCCGAACGCTAACAGTCGTCCGACAGGGGAAGCTTTTTTCTGCGGTCTCGACTGGTCCTAGTGCAGAATGGATCACTAACACCAGCCTAATAGACCACCACAAAATGGATGATGTTCGTTCGTTACATTTTTGGCGGTAAGTACGTGTTGCACTTCTAAATTGCATTATGTAATCTTTTCGCGTTGGTATGAAAACAA